AATGGCTCTCTTGTCTGCGAGTTCCCTGAGTGCGGTGACAATTATATCAAGAATTCTGACGGAGTCTGCAGACGCAAGCTGATTTTGCACTTGGGCGTGATACCCAAGGGAAGAGTCTCTCTGAGCAGACAAGAACATCAGCGATTGGCCAATCTTCTAGAATGCATAGCCGGCCGTTACGACAACTGGGTTGAGGACAAGTCAGTAAGGCCACAAATGACAAGATACGAAGATGGAAAAAGTAACGTTACTGTGTATGGGACAATGTTTCACATCTACGCAGGTCCCATTTTGACATCACCATTAATCCACATCGACAACTTCGCGCTTACGTTTGGGATCGTTACGGCCGAGGCGCTTCGCGAGGATTTACCGGGGGTGGATGAAAATCTTAACGGCTCTCTATCAGACGATTCACAGCTCTCAAACAAGGAAAGAGAACTGCTGCAAAATAAGGAACAGGAAACAGAAGAGATAGGACAAAATCGAAATGGGGAAAACGGGCGAAATCAAAGTGAAAGGAGTTTATGTAATGGATCTAAAGACTGTGGACTAAGACAAACTGCGAAAGAAATATTATGCTGTCAAACTCAGAGCAGTGAACACAAGCAAAAGGGGACAAAAAATGAGGCCTTCAGTACACTTGATATTTTATCTGCAGCCGTTGCAATGAGAAAAGATGAAAAAACAGCTTTTGACATTACTAGCAAAAATGTACATTTACCACTTGCACAGACGTTCTGTGGCTGTACGACCAACAACAAGGTTGCTTGCTCTTTACATTGTTATTCACCAAAAGAGGCGGACTGGGAAGTTTGGAGTGAAAAGATTCGACTGATCAAGAAACATTCATGTTTCAAGGCCTACCTCGCCACATCTGGAGTCAGTTCATCCACACCCGCGTGGCTGTCGTTGCACTTGTTTCTCAACACTGTCTACTTCATGTACGGTCGCCACTTGCTCGAGTAATCGGCTCTGTCGGATCGGGTGGGCGCAGAAACCGAAATGACAAGTAAATTCTCATCGAACAGAATTCAACAGAAGAATGCGACAACATCTGACATGTTTTAACGTCTGTGCCCCCCCCCCCCCCCCCGCGAGCCCCGGAAACAGTGGGGTCAGAATAACAATGGGCCAACAATCCGCTGCCTGGGCCTATGGGAAGATGTTGTTGTTGTTGTTGTTGTTGTTGTTGTTGTTGTTGTTGTTGTTGTTGTTGTTGTTGTTCTGGATGATGATGATGATGATGATGATGATGATGATGATGATGATGATGATGATGATGATGACCGACAAATTAATGTTTTATTGCTAAATCTGTTTGCTTTTTTCCTGTTCGCCCTCGAGCTTTACGCGGCGGTGTGCTTGTGTGTACATTCTGGATTGTGTTGGATTAGCTCTTCGCCTGGCGCGCGAACGACAGGGGTTCAATTACCCTCTGGCGAAAGTTTTACATACTGTATCTTTGTCTGTTTGCCTAGATATATCACACACACACACACACACACACACACACACACACACACACACACACACACACACACACACACACACACACACACACATGTATACGGGCGCAAAGAATGAACAATCAATCGACAGTTGGAAAGAACAATTGAAGCGACAGAGTTGTGGTTCATAAGACACACGCTGCGTATCCCATGGACAGTTAGAAAAACAAATTAAGAAGTCTTGGTTGAAGCAAATTGTAGCAGACAGCTTATGACGAATATACAAAAGCGACAGGCAAATTTTGTTGGACACACAATGCGGACAGAAGCATTGGGGAATACTGTAACAACAGGCAAGTTTGATGGAAAGAGAGGCAGAGGCAGACAGAGGGAAAATATACTGGACAAGTTGACAATATGGCGGGGAGCAGCAAGAACAACAGACACCATTGCTGCAACGCATGACAGAGTGAAGTGGAGGTCCATGATCGCCCACACCAGTCGGCAAGGCACCGGAAGATGATGATGATCACACACACACACACACCTCAGGATGGTGTAAGATTGGACGGCGAGAGACACTTCCAGCGACACGGTGCCGGAGTTCACGTTTGATTTAGTGAAAGTTTTACGGCACCGAAAACAGAATCAGGCCATATAAGTGCCGAAGAATATAGGTGTAACAAGGGAGTAACAAACACACAAAAAAGGAGGGGAGATAAGGACCACAAATGTCCGATAGGAAAGTAGGAGCAAAAACACCATAGCACCCACCAACTATCCATTAGCTGAATTTAATTCCGAATAGAATTTATAAATAAAAGATAGCTTGCAAAAACTGTCGATGTTTGTTGTTTTGTTGCTGTTGTTTCTTTTCCCACCCATCTCGAATGCATACCTACTTTTTTTTTAAAGTAATGTGTAGGCACCCCTCCCCCCCTGCCATTCCGAACTATTGCCCTCATGCGCAACATCTGAGGTATCCCTGGGGGTTTGGGGGGGGGGGGGGGTGGGGTGGTGGGGTCACAGCGTAGTTGTAGTTTTGTCGCCTAGGAAAGGGAAATGTTGGGAGAGCTAGGACGATCCTAGAACACCCACAAACATTTCCTGGGAAGCATTCTACAGTTCAAACTACGCATTTCACGCCCTCAAACAATAACAAACTGATAAGATCCTGTCGCTGTCTGTGGTCGGGCACCCATTCCGACCTGGGTGAATTGAGAAAAATTCGTGTAAAGTGCCTGTCCCAAAGACACAACAACGGGCCTTTAGCGGGATTCGAACCCACAACGTTATAGTTGCGAGTCTGAGAGCCTAACCACTAGGCCACCGAGTGGGGATAATTTTTATCGAGTATCTCGGTCTTTTCTTCTGGAATTTTGTATCCCTCTCATCTCGTGTAGCCATGTCTGGCAGAACCTGACACTCGCCTCCTTAACTCTTTGTCGACGTAGCAGATACGCAGGTCCAATCAGCAGCAGACAAAAGACAATGCCGCTGCTAATTTTGAACCATCATACACAAACCAAAAACACTGATTTGTATAAAATTCGTAACGTGCATATTGTTGCCTGTTGTTTAAGTTTCAGATAAAAGAAGCAGAATTTAAATATATAAATGAATAAAGGAGTCTTCAAACGTACAAAATGCGTGTCCTCAATGAGTTAATTATCTAAATGTTAATAGTGTCGATGGACAGGCACATAAACTACTACATTAAAGAAAAATTAACTTGATGACATGGGCAGGGAAGAGACAGTCCTGAACCATAATTTTTTCTCTCAACCCCCCCCCCCCCCCCCCGGGGCAGTGCCACTGACTATAGTGTCTTTAGGCCATTCCCACAGGGGGGACATTTCTTGTTCAAGCACAGTAAAAATTGTAAATGGGCTGATTCTTCATGTCACGCTCATAACTGTGCCCTATCTGCAGCGGGGAACTGCTGCTTTTTCTTTCCTAATCCTTACTATTGTCATTTTTCCTCTACTTCTTTTGTATGTTTGTCACTCTCTTGTGACCTGCTATTTCCGGGGTGCCTTGATAGTCGAAGCAGACCTTGTGCTGTTGAAGCTAGAGAGGTGAGCAGAATAAGTCTGATTCCCTGTAAAGACATCTCTGTTGACACCCACCCATTGGCGCTCATATGACCTTATGCAGTTGCAAGCCCCGTAAAACTCTCTACTAT